CACTGTACTCGGCACTGAGGAACATAACAATGAATAATAGCAAAAAAAAAAGATTGTGGGTATATAATCATGAGTGTGAACAGTAATGAACAAAGAGGAAGTAAAAGAGGAAATGGCCTGTCCAAAATAACTAAGTCCAAAATGAAAAGCTACAAGTTATATAGCTCAAATCATCCACAAGACAGAGATCCATAAAGAAAATCTTCCTTTTGTTGATTTTCTTAATTTAAAAGTCAAAAGTTACCTGTAATATCTCTGCCAAATCTTCATTCCCATTGTCTATTGAAATATCAAATGCAGTTTTACAAAATTTACTTTGGGTGTGTACATCAGCACCATATTTGATTAAAAGTTCCACCACTTCTTGATGATTGTGTTCTGTGGCCCAATGTAGAGCTGTCATCTTTAGCATATCCTTTGCATTGACATCAGCACCATGCTACAAAAATATTTCAAAATAAGAGTTTGTTAAAATATGAAATATAATGAATTCCTCATATGAAAATACTAGTCACTAAGCTTTAAAGCAAATATTTGCTACCAACATGATGAACTCTTTATTTTTTGTGTTAAATAATCCATAAATTCCAGAAATCACCACCACCCATCTGTCACTTAATCATTTTTCTATCATGTTGACTTTCCTAATGCTTTCCTTCTAATTTCATAGGAAGCCAGCAATTATTTTTTTCATTCATCCAGCTATGGGCATAAGGGGCTAAAAAGGCATCCGAAAGGAAGGAAAACTATAAGCATTCCTCCAAACCCTTTTTTAATGCTGTTAAAGGAGCTGGTTACCTAGTTCCTAATTTACACAAAAATATTCTTTGCTTTCAAAACCAGTGCAATATAAGGAATTAAAAGAGAGCTATCTAGAGGTATGCTTGCCTAATATAGTAGCCACTAGACACTTGAAATGTAACAGTCTCAATAGAGATGTGCTGTAAGTGTAAATATACATTGGATTTCAAAGACTTAGTACCAAAAAAAGGGTAAAATATCTCATTAATAATTTTTATATTAATTATGTTGAAATAATAATACTGTATGTATTGGGTTAAATAAAATATATTAAATTTACTTTTTACTTTTTTAAATGTAGTTACAGTACTAGAAAATTTAGAATTACATGTGATTTGCACTTGTGGCTTACAATATATTTCTTTTGGATAGCACTGATCTAGATTCCAGGATCAAAAGGATTAAGAATAACGTCTAAATCTATCACTCTCCATTTCAGAATTTTCTATGTAACTCTTTGGCACTTAGATGACTAAATAAAAATACCCATTTGTTTGTTAATCATTCAGCCCTAATGTTGCCTTCCATGAGCGTTTTAACAGTGTACTGAGTACAGTTAAAAGTGCAGAAGACAAAGCTGTAGCCCCTAATCAATTGTCCCTAACCCTAACCCTAATCAATTGTTCACTTAACTAAGACTACACCTAAAAGAAGTCCCCGCGCCCCCAACAAAGGAAAACTTTACGATAATTTTCAATTGATGGGCTTGGACATGCACACACAAAAATGAAATAACATAGGTAAAACACTAAGGCATTCAATAAAACTAGCTCTCTTCTCCCTTTTATAAAACCATAAAAGCTTTAGGGGCTTACTTTCAAAAACAAAGAGCAAAGAGAAAAAACGTACCTTAAGCAAAACCTCTACTATCCTGGCATGACCCTCAGAAGCTGCCATATGTAAGGGTGTCCGGTCCACTTTGGTTCTGGCATCCCTACTTACACCAGCTCGGAGTAGCACCTCTGTGGTGGAATAATGACCATATTGTGCTGCCAGATGAAGTGGAGAAGTTCCTAGCTATACCACAAGAAAAAAAAAAACCCACATTTGTAGTCACTTTCAATATACTTCTACTACTACCTTTTATTTTATATTTTCTGCTTACAGAGTAAACAGATTATATTATTTATTTATATGGTAACTTAAAACTTGAAATAACTTCATTAATGCTTAACACATCCTCTTCATAGAGGCCTTCAAGAATTCCCATATACTTCTCAGTGAAGAAGAAATGCTAGTATTTTGCTT